GCATTGCCCCGGGCCTCAACTGTATCGGGCTGGGTTCAGCCACTGGGGCCCAGACGCAGGCTGAAGGGAGGCCGCCCATACGCAGCACTGGCATATAGGCAAGCAGGGCGAGTGGGCAAGGATCTTGGCCAATGCAGGCATTGCGGGCACGCTGCTCTAATGCCTGTGTGCTGCGCCAGCGTGCCAAAGGTAAGTGGCGATCAAACCAGCTCCGATACCAAATTGCAAGGAACATGAATATGGACGAAGCACAGAAATCCAGATTGCAAATTCATACTGAAGTCCATGTAGTCAAAGCCAGAGCAGATAGTACAATGGAACCGAGTAACCATCCAATTGAGAACAATACAGAAGAATTGTGAGTCAATGTCCAATCCCAACAGGGCAACACCAACAGCATAACCCAATGTAGCTGTCTGTCTGAATGGCGCCAGGCGCCCTAGCTACTCTACAGACTATGCCTGCAACTACAGCAATGAAAGCAACCAGACAACTTGACTACGAGCGAGTGATGATGTCAACACTAATGCCGACTTCCACCTCCACCAGGTACTTGTCCTCTTCACCCACACTCTCCCTTGATAACCCACAGTGCCCTTCACCTCCGAAGACCACCTTCGCCCTTCACCCCCACTGCACCCTCATGCGGCCCGGCTATGGCCGCCAGTCATCAAATGCACACTTAGCTCAATTGGTGAGAAATCTGTGGTTGGGGGCAGCTATCTCCAGGTACGTTGTTCCCTTACCTTATCTACTCTCTCAATCTCTTCTTACCGTGAGGAAGTGAGTCCAACTTGAGAGTCCTCTCTTTTGGTGAGGTGTCGTGAGCGCGCTACCTTGAGAGACGACAATCTTCCCGGAAGCATCTGGAAGGAGAAAGGGCGGTGCCTCTGAAGGGCCCTGGTCGAAGCACTGGGTCMCGGTCACCATGCCAAYCCAATGGGAGTAGGTCACGCATGCGATGGCTGCTGTCCATTAAGGCACTTGCTGCGCCAAATAGAAGTCTTGCCGGGTGTGCCAGCCTTTTAGAGACGCTTACCAGACCGTCTATAAACATTTCTGGTTGGGAATTCATTGTGAATCTGGCTGTGATCGTCGTCCTGACTGCGACGTTAAAGAATTCCTAAAGAGATGGGGGCGCTCTATAAATTCCTCCTGATCAGCCAGATCACATGGACAGTAAGGCTCCTTTCCGTATGAGGGTAAATAAGAGTGGACTGGCTGGCTTGCTCGGCTCTAACTTGGGCACAGGGGTGGGCCGATACACACACGAAGACACTCCTCGCTCAATGATGCTGTTCGGTATGTTGGATTGAGGGGAGGGTAGGTTCTAATTGGTGCTCAACTGAGTACACAACCATACCCACTCATCATACATCTGCAACATGGTCTTTTTGTATCTTTGATTAGTTGGTGGACAGGCTGCTAACACCTCACAGACAGATTAGATTAGGACTGTTGTATGCTACCATAGCCAGTTATGTCTAATGCTGTTGTAAGTGAACCAATCGAAGTACATCTAGACTATGTTGACAATCTGTGTGAATGTTGTAGACATGCCACTTGATTCGGTACAGTAGGGGACCTGCCGGACACAACTATCGCTAGAAAATTAGGTGTCGATCAGACACATGCTGTGGTAGGATTCCACTAGGGGATTCTAGTGCAGATACTGTCTGCCTAACTGAGTGGATCAGATCCTGTTCAAGATAGAGCTGACAATAGGAGGCTAACACGTGAGGAAGCACTAAGAATACCGCACGTGTTCCAAGCCCTACAACCGGGAGACGAAAGACGGCTTATACCCGAACGTAGAGCCCGTGCACTAGCAGCAGCTAGGGCAATAGTAAAGGCCGCAGCTAGGGAACAGGCTGCCGCAGCAGCTAGGGCAGCGGCCATGACTAGCTCAACAGCATCCTCTGCGGCTTTACCTGGGACTGATGGGACTCTGTTGGGAATGCCAACAAGTTCCACGGGCACTTCCAGTTCGATGGGTTCACGACAGTCTACTAGTCAGATGGCGGGCTCGCAGTTCAGCCCGCTAACCCCACATGAGAGGGAACTCAGGGAACTCCAACAGGTCGAAAGGATCCGTGCACAGTTAGAGAAGGACCTGGAGGAAGCTACCGATAGAGAAAAAGAAATTAAAAGTAGAGCAGCCAGGCTCGATACATTAGCGGCTGACAAGGTTGAGTTAAGGGCTTGGATGACTCTGGAATGAATGAGCCCATGAAAGTGTTGAGGAACAACATGCTGTCGCTGCATGCGCACGTGGACAACAGGTTGGACTTCATGCAAAGCACTCTAGACCAGATCCTGGACGCTTTGACAAGGCCAGGGTTTAGGCCACCAGCACAATCGCCGTTGCCGTTATCGGCCATGTCAGGCCCCTTTCCAATTCAAGCTGGTACACAACCAAGTGGTACGTCTGCAGCAGCCGCACAGACTGTTGCGTCTTCTCCTTCGGGTCCAGCAGTGATTGCTACATCACCGCAACAACCTGTTCCTCAACAGGGACAGCAGCAAGGTCATTGGTACCCTAAGACCCCAATGAAACCGCCTCTCCCTTCTCAGGCGAGAGAAAGGACAAAGAACTCAACACTTGGTTGAGGACGGTCCCGGTTTGGGTGAAGGCAAAAAGGACCTTGTTGGAGGACGAAGTGGTAACTGCGGCATCTTACCTCGAGGGTAAGGCAGCCAAATGGTTAGATGGTGTAGTGATAAAGGTTGGGTACGGGCGACGCATGGCGGACTGGGCTAAGTCTCTTACGCTAGACCAGTTCATGGAAATGGTAGAATCTCGATGGCATAATCCACAGGAGGCACAAAGGGCCACTGATGCGATTAACAAATTCGACCAACGAAAATTCAAGTCGGTCAGAGAGCTTACGACTACCGTTGAGAGCCTGATCCTCGTCCCAGGCATCAACTACAGTGGCCAGTTCCTGTTAACTACGTTTGTTAGATGTTTACCAGAGAACATTAGGAACTTGCTGGCCAGCGAGGCACGCACCGAGTACCATTCGTTTGAGACACTGTCTAGGAAAGCCTTAGATTTGGAGGCCACGCTAGGCAATGCTCAACCAACCTCTCAGAATGACACGAAGAAGAATAAGAGTCCTCAGGAGTGGAAGAAGAAGGGGCCTAAGTTGATGATGGTTGAGTCTGATGGGACTCAAACAGAGATCGACGAGCTCACTGACCTGATGGACTATTCAGAGTATGACGACGAGGAGACCGCTGAGGGTAGCACCCTCGCCGCAGTAGTAAAAAGACTAAGGCTGGTGGCCGAGGAAAGGGCCAACCTAGGAGTCAAGGGAAGGCCGCCTCCAATCAGACCAAGCAGGCTGAGTGGGTTAAGGCAGGTCTTGATCAAGACGTGTGGCGTGACTGCCGAACGCGTGGCGCTTGTATCAACTGCGGGGAATACGGACACTCGCAGTATAAGTGCCAGAACGCGAAGGTTACACAAAAGGTAGCTCCAAAGATAGGGCCATCTTATTCCCAAGCTTCTAGCTCGGGAAACGCGTGAGGCCAGTGGAAGTGTTAGCTGCTTCTACTCAAGATGAGGTGGGATTGATACCCTCCCCACTTCATGACAAGGCCAAAGCTAAAGACTCCTTAGTCACCCCGCAGACACATCTAGACCAAACTATGCTCTGTACGTTAGATGTGTCTCAAGCCTTAGAAGACTTAGAAGGTGAGTGGTCAAACAAGGACCCTCGCGAGTCTTGGGTGGCGCTGAAGAAAGGTCCTAAAGGGAAACATTTCGTGTAGGAGGCCGCAAATGTGGTGCCTTCATAGACATAGGCTCCACGCGGAATTACACAAGTCGCGATTGTTTGAAAAGGCTGCACCTACAGGACCGGGTACGGCACCTTAGTAGACCAGTAGCATCTACTTTGGCCAACAAGGAGCGCATGATTGTAACAGACTACATCAAGGACGTAGTCTGTACCTTTTCCTATGGAGGAGAAGAGCTTAACCATAAGATCTCGTTCTTGGTTAGCGACGACTTACCATTCGCCATGTTGTTAGGCATGTACTACCTCAAAGTTGCTAAGCCCCAGTTCGGTTGGGATAAGAAGGTGCTCAAGCATAAGTTGCCCGGTGGCCTAACTGCCAGATTGACTAAGTTCAAGGCCAGTAGCATTATAGATACCTATGGTTGCTTGTGCGCATCAGCGTTCTACAATTACTATAAGCAAAACGAAGAGGAGGGTATGTACCTTGTGTATGTCTCTGAGAAGGGGGAGGCCGTTAAAACACCCCCAGAGATAGAACGCGTCGTTGCTAAGTTCCCTGATCTGTTCGAGGAGCCCACAGGGTTGTTGAAAGGGAAGTCGTCCACGCTATAGAAATCATTCCAGGTAGTAAGACCCCAAAGGGAATGACCTATAGGATGGCCCACGCCGAGTTAGATGAACTTTGGCGACAACTTAAGGAGCTGACAGAAAAGGGATGGATTCGGCCTAGTACTTCCCCTTACGGATCACCCGTTCTATTCGTACCGAAGAAGGGGGGTACATTGAGGATGTGCATTGACTATAGAGGCCTCAATGCCATCACTGTGAAGAACGCAGAGCCTCTACCTCGCATACACGATCTATTGGATAGGGTGCAGGGATGCAAGTGCTATAGCAAGATAGACTTGAAATCCGGCTATCATCAAATCGCTATAAGGCCAGAGGACCACCACAAGACAACTTTTCAGACTCGTTATGGTCTGTATGAGTTTGTGGTGATGCCTTTTGGTCTTTGTAACACGCCGGGAACATTCCAGCACGCTATGAATCGGATCTTCCATGACCATTTAGATAAGTTTGTCGTGGTCTACTTAGACAACATTCTGATCTTTAGTAAATCTGCCGAGGAGCACGCACAACATGTAGAGAAGGTACTCCCACTCCTGTGACAGCACAAGTATAAGGTCAACTTAGAGAAGTGCGAGTTTGGCCGCACCAAGATACTATACTTGGGTCATGAAGTATCCGCGGAGGGGATAAGGCCGGAAGATGCGAAGGTGGCTAGTATTTGAGACTGGCTACGACCTCAAACAGTCACTGAGGTCAGATCATTCTTAGGAATGTGCGGCTACTATAGAAACTTCGTAAAGAACTATTCTACAGTCGCCTCTCCTTTGACTGATCTAACTCGACTTGACACACCGTGGGACTGGAGTGATGAGTGCGAGGGTGCTTTCAAGAGATTGAAGCATGCACTCATGAATCATGAGGTCCTCATGGTTCCCGATCCTCAGAAGCCATTCATAGTGACCACTGACGCAAGCCAATACGACATTGGTGCAGTGCTGGCTCAGCAGGATGGGAAAAAGTTGAGACCAATTGAGTACATGAGTAAGAAGATGCCATCAAAGAAGTTGGCAAAATCCACCTACGAAAGGGAACTCTATGCTCTGTATAAAGCACTTGTCCATTGGAGACACTTGCTATTGGGAAGGTTCTTCTACTTGAGGACTGATCATCAGACCCTCAAATGGATCAAGACTCAACCGGCTCTTTCTGATGCACTCAAGCGATGGATTGAGGTCATAGATCAATATGACTTCAAGCTTGAGTATTTGAAGGGAGAGTATAACAAGGTTGCGGATACGCTATCCCGTAGAGCAGACTACCTAGGTGCGCTAGTTTCTGACTTTGGCGTATCTGACGAAGTAACTCAATCATTGGTGGGAGCCTATCAGGAAGACCCTGTCACGATAGACATCATGCGCAAACTTCAGGCAAAAGACAAGGCCACGGAAAGTGAGTTTGTGATGGTGGACTGGTTGCTTCTGAGAATCAACACCGTAGACAGTCCACATTTCCGGTAGGGGAACGAGTCTGGGTCAAGGCGAGTGAGTTAGGACTGGAGTTCGGAATCTCTCGCAAACTAATGCCTTAGTACTTTGGTCCCTGGGAAGTACTGGATATAGCGGGAGATGAGATGGATGGTCCCACATATGTCATTCGTGTCCCTGGACACCTACGCACTCACCCAGTCTATCATGCCTCAAAGCTTGCACCTTTCGCTGAGACAGATCAATTCCCTTCCAGGAGATTGATGCTGCGCCCAACCATGGATGGACAAGGTGGACATCGATGACATTGGGGATCACAGGGATATGCCTGTTCCGAAGCCGCTGGGTCGAGGAAGACCTCCTAAACCCAAGAGAGAGTACCGCGTCAGATTCAGGAATCATACGGATCCAAAAGAAGATCGGTGGTTTACCAGGGAGGAACTGATTGAGACAGCTCCTCAGGTGGTGGCAGAATATGAGAGGCTACTGAAAGGGAAGGCACCTGCGAAGTAAGCATCTCAGCGGACTTTCGAAGCTAAGGGGGATGGAATGAGAGGATTGAGCCCTCAAGTAGGGGCCTTGCCATGATGTACATGTTCTGGGCTAAGGCCCCAGCAAGCCTCGTGCCCGCCCTAAGTGAAGGCGGGCCAGCAAAACAAGAGCCCTCTGTGCAAACATTTCCTGAAGTGGGGTCCATACAGTTGCAGCACGCCAGTTGGTTGGAGTGCACCGAGTCTCGGATCTCTGCAAATGTGGAAATCCCAGGGCCGCTGAGTTAGTTAGGCCCTGGGCACTTGAATGTGCGGCCGACAATGCATGCGGGGAAGAGAGGCCGAAAATGCCAAAGGGAAATCGGCCACTATCTGCATCTGGCCGCAGGCCTTGATGAAAGAAGCGCAACTGCATTGCCACGGGCCTCAACTGTATCGGGCTGGGTTCAGCCACTGGGGCCCAGACGCAGGCTGAAGGGAGGCCGCCCACACGCAGCACTGGCATATAGGCAAGCAGGGCGAGTGGGCAAGGATCTTGGCCAATGCAGGCATTGTGGGCACGCTGCGCTAATGCCTGTGTGCTGCGCTATGCAAGAGCTGCGCTGCGCTGGGATGAAGCAGTCTAGCGCTAGGCGGTAGGGCGCTGCCTGCATGCAAGGCACTGACGGCCATTGCCGGACCGCATGAGGGTGCAGGGCGAAGGTGGTCTTCGGAGGTGAAGGGCGCTGTGGGTTATCAAGGGAGAGTGTGGGTGAAGGAAGTCGGCATTGGTGTTGACATCATCACTCGCTGGTAGTCAAGTTGTCTGGTTGCTTTCATTGCTGTAGTTGTAGGCATAGTCTGTAGAGTAGGTAGGGCGCCTGGCRCCATTCAGACAGAGAGCTACATTGGGTTATGCTGTTGGTGTTGCCCTGTTGGGCTTGGACATTGACTCACGATTCTTCTGTATTGTTCTCAATTGGATGGTTACTCGGTTCCATTGTACTATCTGCTCTGGCTTTGACTACTTGGACTTCAGTGTGAATTTGCAATCTGGATTTCTGTGCTTCGTCCATATTCATGTTCCTTGCACTTCTAATCATTGACAAAAAGACAATGCTTCCATGCTTCAGATAGTCCAACTTACATCTCTGCGAGATTTGTGAGATTCCCAAACTCAGGATGGAGGTTACCACGCAGAYGACTGGTATGAACGTTTCTGCCAGTCAAATCACAACAGCCCACATGCAATTCAATCAACACATTGTCAGAACAAGACAAGTTCAAGCTAAAACTTTGCCACCTAACTATACACACGTACAGTTCTCAGCATCAGAACATCCCAGATGACACACATTATTTTCTTGCATGGCAGAGATCCAGTAATAGGTCTCCAGCTATTTCCCGATTTTGCTTTCAATCGATTTTTTTGGGGCCCACCAGCCTTTTCCCTCCGAACCTGCGCCGTGTCGGATCACTGTTCATCTTGCCGCCGTCACAGTGTACTGCGGTTTGGTGAATAGTAGGGGTCTGTGAACTGGTGGTTTAAGATTTGAAACCCACCCACCAGGATTCAGGACCTCAACGGAAGCGAGTACACACTTCGTCCATTGCCCTCACCCAGGTTCAATCCGTGCCCAACAGGTGCATTCTGGGCATTAAATCATCCATCACCATTTAGACAACAGCAAAACCCTCCCCCAACGGCCATATCAAAGTTGTCCAGTCCACCGCAGTATATCTCGCCAGGATTTGTTGGTCCTTACACCAGACTAGACACACAGATTGACAGGAAGGCAGGCAGGGACGCAAACACAGACAGAGAGAGAGAGGGAGAGAGAGAGGCAAACACAGAGAGAGAGGGAGAGAGAGAGAGAGAGAGGCCAACACACACACACAGAGAGAGAGAGAGAGAGAGAGAGAGAGAGAGAGAGAGAGAGAGAGTACACAGAGGATAGGTTAATTAGATAACAAATAGCTACCCCAGGTACCTTGGTATCCAGTTCTTGTGCACATAACGCACCTCCCTCAGCGTGCGCACCGCGCAGCGCACTGCGCACAGTGCGCGTGCTGTCATTCCACCGCACGGCGCACTGGTGCGCCGCAACTATGCTTATGTTGTTTGATTATGCTACTGTAAGGCCGTAACATAGCCAACATCATGACTGAATACCATAGTAAATTTCAGAGCTGAAAATGATATGAAAAAGTTCAGAAAGGCAGAGGCAGTGAACGGTTGTGCTACACGTGGGACACTTGAAATTCTAGCTCGGTTCTTACACAAACTATTTGCACCAAAAAAACTCAGGAAAAGAAAGGAACAATGATTTGATTGTTCACACTTACAAAAGCCTCAGCTGCTGCAAATTCCCCAACTCATAAGGTAGTCCTCCTGATAGGGAGTTTCTAAAGATACTCCTGTTGGATAACCATCCCCACAACACGTGACACATCTATAAGTAAATGCTGCAAAACACAAAATGAGACGAAACAAGTCATCTGAAATCTACACCCTTCCTTGTGTCAACAGCGGGTGGCTGAGTCTGCCTCTCTCTCTCTCTCTCTCTCTCTCTCTCTCTCTCTCTCTCTCTCTCTCTCTCTCTCTCTCTCTCTCTCTCTCTCT